AACTTAATCTCTGGACTGAGTGCCCTGGAGCCTAGGCAGGTCCCGAGCTCTACTGTGGAGAGCAGGGGGCACAAAAATGGGTGCAGACTCACAGAGTGCCCCAAGCTGGGTTAGGGATCGGGTGGAGATGGACCCCCACAAATGCAACAACCAAAGATAGAACAGAAGCAGTTCTGAGCTGCATGGCTCAGTTCCCGAGGCTTAAGAGCCCAAGGACTGTCAAGGAGAACTTTCTGGAGGGGGCCTCCTGGAATCAGTACCTGAAGGTGGGGAAAATTTCGGGGGCTCCTATGCACCGAGCTGGTTTCTGATGCAAAATAAAAAAGTAAAATGGAGGGAGCTGTGGGCCAGCTCAGCCTGGCTGGGGTTTGGGGTATGTCACAGGCAACTTGGGCAAGTCACTTCCTCCCTGAGGGTGTTGGTTTCTACATCTGTAAATGTCAAGGCTGGAGCAGGTCAAATGACAGTCCCAGTGGCTGGACTTGAGGGCACTGGAAACCGCGGAAGGCTTTGAGTAGTGGTGGGACAGGTTGGCACAGCAGAGAGGTGCCGGAGGGAGACGGGAGAAGCAGGGGCAGGGTGAAAGAGTGGGCGGTGGAAGCATGAGTTGAGCCTTTTTGTGCGGGGAAGGAGGAGAACCCCCCCAACTTGTGGCCATGCTGTCGCAACAGGATAGCTCTCCCCTCTGACTGGGTCCCTGCTTCCCTGGGGGTGGAAACTCAGTGATGTGTCACAGTAGCTGAAGGGCCTAAACCAGTGGGGGAAGGGGACACAAAAACTCAGTAATCAAGATGAATAATATATTAAAAAAAATCAATATTAATGAAAAAAGTCTGAGGTAAACAAAGTATCAAAATTTTAAATAAAGAGTTTCAGTATTGCGGATTCTTTCTTTGCCTCAGGCTCTGGCATGGCTCAGCAGGGCACTACTCCAAACTTCTTTTTTTAGGAGCTGCCTCCTCCAGGAAGCCTTCCCTGATCCCTGGCTGGGTGAGGGCCATGTGGGTTGTTTCTGCTGGCTGGGTGGTATCTGACCCTCCCACCAGGTTCCTGAAGGGCAGGTCTGAGGTCTGGCTCATGCTTGCAGTACCTAGAATAGAGCTGTCCTAGAGAGTTGTAAGTGTGGAGTCCCTGAGTCTGACCTTGGCCTGAAGCTTTTAGTGCAGGAGTAGGAACTTAAGAGAGGCCCAGGATGGGGCTGGGCCTTTTGCAGGATCAGCAGTGGTTTCCTGTTTTCCAGCCCTTGTCATTCCCATGGGGTTGTTGGGGTTATCATCAGTCAATTCACGTTGAACCATTAGAACAGGGCCCGACCTGTATAGCAGGGGCTCAGTTGCTCAGTTAGTGTTAATTATCACTTCTGAGAGGCAGTGAGCAGAGTGGTTAAGAGTCCAGAGCCGCACTGTCCAACAGAAATATAGTTCGAGGCAAGTGCAATTTAAAATTTTCTAGTACACATTAAAAAGAAACATAAATTAGTATTAATAATACATTTTATTCAAATAGCCAAAATATTATAATTCCATTATGTAAGAAATGGAAACAATTATTGAGATTGTTTATATCTTTTTTGGGGGGGCATACTAAGTCTTCAAAATTCAGGGTATATTTAAAAAAATTTTTTTTAAATATCTTATTTATTTATTTTTAGAGAGAGGAGAAAGGAGGGAGGGAAAGAACCATCAATGTGTGGTTGCCTCTTGAGCACCCCCTACTGGGAACCTGGCCCACAACCCAGGCATGTTCCCTGAACTGAGAATCGAATGGGCGACTTTTTGGTTCACAGGCTGGCCCTCAGTCCACTGCACCATACCAGCAAGGGCTGATCTTTTTCTTATATACTGTAATTCCCTTTAGCATTTCATATCATAATGGCTTGGTGATGATGAACTCCTTTAGTTTTACCTTGTCTGGGAAGCACTTTATCTGCCCTTCCATTCTAAATGATCGCTTTGCTGGATAGAGTAATCTAGATTGTAGGTCCTTGCTTTTCATCACTTTGAATACTTCTGGCCAGTCTCTTCTAGCCTACAAAGTTTGTTTTGAGAAGGCAGCTGACAGTCTTATGGGAACTCCTTTGTAGGTAACTGTCCGCTTTTCCCTTGCTGCTTTTAAGATTCTCTCTCTCTCTCTTTTTTTTTTTTTTTGCAGAGAGTAAAGTTTTTATTCACTATCCAAGAAAGGAGAGGGGCATGGTGTTAAAATTGTCTATCTTTAACCTTTGGCATTTCAGTATGATGTGACTTGGTGTGGTCCTCTTTGGGTCCATCTTGTTTGGGATTCTCTGTGCTTCCTGGACTTGTATGTTTATTTCCTTCACCAGATTAGGGAAATTGTCTTTCATTATTTTTTTCAAATAAATTTTCAACTTCTTGCTCTTCGTCTTCTCCTTCTGGCACCCCTATGATTGAGATGTTGGTATGTTTAAAGATGTCCCAGAGGTTCCTAAGCCTATCCTTGTGTTTTTGTTATTTTTTTTTATTTCTTTTTCCTTCCTGCTGTTCTGATTGAATGGTTTTTCCTCCCTTGTGTTCCAAATTGTTGATTTGATTCTTATCTTCATCCTCTCCATTGTTGGTTCCCTGCAGATTTTTCTTTATTTCTCTTAATGCAACCTTCATTTCTGCCTGGTCTTTTTTATGCTGTTGAAGTAGCCAATGCTGTGGATGTAGCAAATACCTGGAGCATCCTGATAACCAGTGTTTTGAACTATGCATCTGGTAGGTTGCTTATATCCATTTTGTTTAGTTCTTTTTCTGGAGTTCTGTTCTTTCATTTTGTCTCCTCATTTTGGCAGCCTCCCTGTGTTTGTTTCTGTCTGTTAGGTAGAGCTGCTTTGACTCCCTCTTTTAGTAGCATGGCCTGTTGTAGAAAAGTACACCTGTAAATTGTATGGGGCGGGGCCTGAGGTAATCCCCAGGGTGGGGCAACCTGTCTGACTGCTCTGTTGTGCTGTGTGGGGGAGGGCTTGGAGAGGAGGTAATGCTGCTGCCTGGTCTCCGGTGTTTTGCTGGGGAGGAAGCTGTCTCCCGGCACTCGCCCTTTTGCCAGTCCCTTCACTTTCTCCCCTTATGCCAATGGTGCCCTTCCAGCTGTTGGCCTGGTGCTGAGTCCCAGAGGGGGTGGGTCTGCGTGAGTCCTAATCTGTTGTGGGCCCTTTAAGAGGAGTCTCTTGAGAATCCCACAGTTTCTTCCGCCCTTCCAACCCCCACTGGTTTTTACAGCCAGATGTTATGGGACTTACCTTCCTGGCACCGGAACCCTGGGCTGGTCTGGGGCTGGGATCCCTTGCTCCCGAGGTATCCCTCTTGATTTTTACCTGCCATGCATGGATGTGGGACCACCCTTTCCCATTTCTGCACATCTCCGTGCCTCTGTACCCATCCGTACTTCTCCTCCTCTCTGCACATATTCATGTCTTTGCCCCTCCTACTCAACTGGATGAATGTGGCTTCTTTAAATCCTTGGTTGTTAGGCTTCCACACAGCTTGATTGTCTGGCAATTCTGGGTGATACTTGTTTTGTAGCCTAGTTGTATATTTTGCTGTAGTTGTGCGAGGAGGTGAGGCGTGTTTACCTATGGCTTCATCTTGACCAGAAGTCTCCAGTGTGTATTTAATACAGCACACTTTATTCTGCAGGTCTATACTATATTCAAGCTGCCCTTTCCTAGCTGTGTGACTTTGGGCAAGTTACTTAATCTCTCTGTGCCTCAGTTTCTTTATCTTGATGTTATGAGGTATGTACTTCATAGGGTTGCCATGAGGATTAAATAAGTTAATAAAAAGTGCTTAGGTACCTGGCATACAGTAAGGACTATTTATGTTGTCTATTCTTTTTTAAATCATCATTTGAGTAGCATTGCCATTTTTTGCCAACTCTTTCTGAAGTACTAATTACTTAAAATTTATTTTTAAAATACTTAAAAGAATTCACTTTTGAAACATATCCCTATTTTACCTCTGTCCTAAGAAATATTGTAGAGGCTACTTGAGACAAATAGCTGACTAGTAAATTAAAAAGCCACCATACAGAGCCTAGCAGTTTGCCACTGACCCTGTCCTAGTGGCAGAAAGGTAGCTCTGCCCAAGACCTGACCGTTCGCCCCCTCCCGAACAGAGCCCTGGCCGTCTGAGCTGGCTGGCGGTGTGCCGGCAGGGATGGCTTGTTCTCTTCCCTTGGCTGGAAACGCCTCTTTTGACCCCACGCCCATGTTTAAGAACAGGCCCCTGGTGTCTCATGCCCCTGTCTCAGTTGCAGCCTCTCTGTTCTCACCCTATCCCCTGGCCTCTGGGCTTAGTGGAGAGGGTTCTGCCTCCCTGAATCTCCCCAGGGTCCCCCACCTCTCCCTGACAGGCTCTGTGTTGTGTTGGGGGGACTGCCTCAGTCATGGAGCTGCATGTACCTCCTCCCCGGTGTCTTCCCTGGGGAGTGTCCAGCCTCCTTGCCAGGCCCTCCTGTACATCCCAGCAAGGGCCAGAGAATGAGGAGTCTTAAGTTCTCCCCCGCCTTTTTTTTTTTTTTAAAGATTTTATTTATTATTTTTAGAGAGGGGAAGGGAGGGAGAAAGAAACGGAGAGAAACATTAATGTATGGTTGCATTTTACGCGCCCCCTCCTGGGGACCTGGCCCACAACATAGGCATGTTCCCTGACTGGGAATCCAACCAGCGACCCCTTGGTTCACAGGCCAGCGCTCAATCCACTGAGCCACACCTAGGGCTTGACTCCCCTTTACAACAGGCCTGTACCTCTGGGCAGGCCTGTCTGTCTGCCTCCTCATCCCCCACCGGAAGGCCCCAACTTCTACTGGGCTCCCCGAACTTTTCCCTCTTCTTCCTTCCTCTACCCTTTTCCCCATCTCTCACTTTTTTCCCTCTTTCCTTTTCCCCATCCCTCTCTCCCTTCTCCCTCCGTCCTCCTTTCCCCTCCCCTTCTCCCTCCTCTTCCTCCTAGCATCTCTCTCCTCCAAATGGCCTTGCCTCCTCCCTGTTCTTGCAGCTTCCGCCTCAGGCCAAGATGACCTGCTGTTTGGAGTAGCTGCTCCTTCTGGGAGGACCAGTGTCCTGGACAGCCCAGCAGGTGAGTTGGGAGATAGGGAGAGGCAGGGGCTGGGTGTGGCGGGCTAAGCTCCAACATTGAGGTGGGGGAGGAGGCTTTGAGGAAGCAGGAGCTGAGGGCCCTTTTCCCATTTTGAAAATGAGTTGAGAGGTGGAGAAGAGCCTCCCAGGAGGGCTTTGGAGGGTGGGCAAGGCAGGGAGGGACCAGCTGGTTTAGGGGGGAGTGGTGAGTCTGTGGGTGTGTGTATGTGTATCTGCTTATTTGATTTTGTTCTGTGCCTGGTGAGTTACCATCTCTTTCTCGTTCCATTTGATCATATTATCTCTTAGACTGTATTTCTAGTTTTGAAAAATGGTACGAAATTAAAAAGAGACAGGATGTAGTGAAAGGTAATCTTCCTTCTCTTGCCTTCCCAGCTGCCAGTACCCACTCCTCCACAAAGGCAGTTTCTTATAAACCCGTCAGAGGTATTTTGTGTATATATGTGCTATATATATGTTTTATTTTTCTTCTAAAATTAAATGTTTTGAGGTAACATTGGTTACCTAATTAACTTATAATTATATAAATTTCAGGTATACATTATATTTTAATATCTGTATACTCTGTTGCTTACCACCCAAAGGCTAGTTTTTTTTTTGTCACCTTATATTTAACCCCTTTACCCAGCTCGCCCTCCCCAACGCCCCTTCACCTCTGGTAATCATTTGTTTTTGTGTGTTTTGTTAGTTCATTTGTTACTTGCTTTATATTTCACATATGAGTGAAATTGTTCAATTTTTGTGCTTTTTTTGTCTGACTTTTTGCATTTAGCTTAATACTCTCAGGATCCATCCATGTTGTTGCAAATTGCAGTATTTCATGCTTTTTATAGCTGGGTAATATTCCACTGTACAAAAATGCCATGTATTCCCTATCCATTCATCCACTGAGGGGCCTATAGGTTGTTTCCATGTCTTGGCTATTGTAAATAATGGTACTGTGAACATAGGGGAGCTACCCTTGTCTTTAAGAATAACTGTTTCCATTTTCGGGTAAATACCCAGAAGAGGAATCGCTGGGTCATATGGTAGTCTTATTTTTAATTTTTTGAGGAACCTCCGTACTGTTTTCCATAGTCGCTGCACCAATTTACATTCTCACTGGCAGCGTGTGTGTACGAGGGTTCCCTTTTTTCCACATTCTCTTCAACACGTGTTATTTCTTGTCTCTTTGATAATAGCCATTCTAACAAGTGTGAGGTGGTATCGTGTTGTAGTTTTGATTTGCATTTCCCTGATAACTAGTGATAATTGAGCATTTTATCATAAATGTTTCTTTTTCTTTATCCAGATATTTACATCATAAAACATTTTTCTGCATCTTGTTTTATCACTTACTGATAAATCTTTAGTATCATTTTACATGCACTTTAATTTTTAAACTTTTTACAAAAGATTTTATTTATTTATTTTTAGAGAGAGGGAAAGAGAGGAAGAAAGAGAGGAAGAGAAACACCAGTCGGTTGCCTCTCATGTGCCCCCAACCAGGGAGGGACCTGGCTCTGACCAGGAATTGAACTGGTGACCTTTCAACCTCCCGGTTTGCCAGAGGATGCCCAACCCACTGAGCCATACCAGTCAGGCCCACATGTACTTTAGACTTTGCCAGTTGGTAATTTTAATTTATTTAATAGTTTATCTTTGCTGGTTTTCCCCCTTTGCTCTCCTCTGCCCATCCCACCTCCCTCTCCCACACACAGTCCCCACCCTGTTGTCCATGTCCAAGGATCATTCATACATGTTCCTTGACTAGTCCCTCTGCCTTCTTTCCACCCTTACCCTTCCAGAGTTAGTTTAACTCTGGAAGAACTGATGGCTTTATAATGTTGAGAGCTACCTTATCTAAAGCATCCAGTATATTTCTGTTTGTGTCTTCCTTTGGGTCTCTCATTAACTTTTTTTTTTTTAATCATAGACTTCTGTTTTATTTTACCTAACTTACTTTCCTCTCCTAAATTACAAGTTTTACATAAAATTTTAGTTCATTACTAAGAAGAAAAAGTTTTTCTAAAATAAAACTACATCAGAACATGATAGCATAAGAAATATTTTTAATTACCAACCATGACTGTCTACATTAAGCAGACATTTATTTTCATTTTTAGGAAATGCTACTTGAAAAGAAATTGATGTATATCTCTACCACAAAAATAAATTACTTTTAGTCTCATCAACTTTTAAAAAAAATATTCACATAATTCAAAATATAGATGATAGAAAAAGATGTAGAATGGAAAGGCTCCCTGACCAGTCAGAGGGGGTTTCCAAGGAGGGGCCTGGGCAGTGTGTGTCTGTAGTCATGTGTTTTTGTAAATTTTTACCAAAGTAAGGTATTCCTTTTTTTTTAATTAAAATGTTTTAATTGGAGATATAATTGACATACAGCATTATATTAGGTTCAGGCATTGTAACAGTGATTTGATATTTTTTATATATATATAATATATATATATATAGTGAAATGATAAGTAAGATATTTTGTATTCTTTTTCTTAAAGAGGACATCTGAGGTGTATAAGCTTCGGCCCAGGGAAGTCTGGCTTTGCATCTGCTCCCTCCTGTCCTCTTGGCCCTCACTTTTCTTCAGAGGCAGCCAGCCTTACCTTGTCTCCTATGTATCTTTTCAGAGATATTTTATGCATCTGCCAGTAGATGCATACTGATCTATCCTCTCTGTTCATCCCCCCCACCACGTGAGAGGCAGAATGTTATATATACTGTTTTATGCCTTTTTTTAGTCACTTAACAGCAACATATTTTGGAGGAGTTTCCTCATTCTGTATAGCTGCTCAGTATTCTGTATGTCAGCACTATAATTTAGTTAACTGTTCTCTGGTTTATGGATGTTTTGGTTATTTCCGCCCTTTTGTTCTTTTACACAGCATTATAGCCATAACTGTCTATAAATGTCATTTTGGGTGTGTGCCTGTAAGGCTGCAGGGTGAGTGTCTAAGGACGGTTGGATGCAAGGGCAGAAGCTCTTGGGGTTTTCACACCTACTGTGGCCTTGCGGGCCAGCCCTCCCCCTCCCCGCCCCCGCCACCGGAGGCATTAGGCCTGCCTGTCACCAATCTGTGTGGTCAGTGTTGTTCTTTTCATCTGTTTAAGAACCATTTATATTTTCTTTTCTGTGAATTTCTCTGTTCATATCCTTTGTCCATTTTTTTTTTTTAAGGTTATTGATCTGTGTCCTATTTTTAGGTGCTTTGCAATTTTCAGGAAACTTACTGCTGTGTTTGGGATAGGAATGGCAGATATCATCCCCTAGTTTGTCATTTATCGTCTGGCTTTGCTTATGGTGTTTTTATCGGGCAGGAATGTTTGGTTTTTATATAGTTGAATTTTTCAATTCTTTCTTTATCCTTATAAGTCTGTGTCATTTCCAAAATCCTTTTGTTCTTTGAGACAATTTTTAAAATCCTTTTATGGTTCTACTTTTTTAACCAAGTCGTTGATTCTTCTGTAATTTATCCTGTTGTAAGTTGTAAGGTAGGGGTCCAACTTAGTTTGTTTCTAGATTGCTCCACAGGTATCCCAACAACTTAATTATCTATCTAGATTGAATTCCTTTTGTTATATGCTTAAATCTTATATGTATTTGCGTTTATTTTTGAATTTTCTGTTCTGTCTAACTTATCTGTCCAGGTGCTGGTAACATGTACAGTCACAGTCATTCCTTGGCCCGCCTTGCAGTGCAGTTGAGGCTGTGGAGGCGGGGAAGAGTAGTACCGACTCTGGAGGTCCTGGAGGGCCTCCTAGAGGAGCTGTGAACTGAGTGCTAGGCAGCCACAAGGGTGGGATGGGGGTGGAAGGTGGCTGGTTTCAGGCAGAGGGAAAAGCCTATGTGTTCAGAGTCCTGGCAGTACCTGGCCTTGCTTGGCACAAAGGAGGCTGGTTGGGGAACTGCACCTGGGCATCCATGCCACAGCCTCTGACCTGTGCCCATCTATCTATTCCAGGTCTGCACAGAGCCCTGCTGGCTGGCCTTCGCTGCCAGGAACCATGGCAGAGGCTGGGGATGCAGCATTGTCGGTGGCCGAGTGGCTGCAGGCACTGCACCTGGAACAGTACACCGGCCTCTTTGAGCATCATGGACTGGTGCGGGCCACAGATTGCCAGGGCCTCAGCGACACTCGCCTGGTGGACATGGGCGTGCTACTGCCGGGCCACCGTCGCCGCATCCTGGCTGGCCTGCTTCGCGCCCATGCGCCTCCGACCCCGGCCCCTCGCCCCGCCCCACGGCCCGTGCCCATGAAACGTCATATCTTCCGCTCACCTCCTGCATCCACCACTGCAACTGAGCCACTACCCACAGCTAGAGAGGATGAGGGACTACCCACTGTCCCACCCATCCCACCCCGAAGGAGCTGCCTTCCTCCTGCCTGCTTCTCTGCCCCATCCACAGCTGTCCCAAACCCTGTGCTGCCCCCGCTGCCTGCCAAGCGGCATTTGGCAGAACTAAGTGTTCCACCTGTGCCTCCTCGCACTGGGTCCCCCCGTCTACCTGTGAGGTGAGTGGCTGCCATCCAGGGTGGGAGGTACACAACCAGAGGACCGATCCTAGAGGGTGGAAGGGGAGTTTGTGGCTTTTGGCACTGTAGCCAGAAAGGCACTTCAGTGGAGGGAACAGTGTGTGCAAAGCTCAGAGGTAGGAAGCGCCTTCTGGGTACTCTGGGCAGACAGTGTGACTGAGCTGTCGGGTGAGTGAGGGTGAAGCTTGTACATGGTGCTGGTGGGATGTGCTGTGAAGGCCAGTGGGCAGCCTGGAAGGTTTTAAGCAGAATGACCTGATGAAAGCTGAGTGCAAAAGGATGACTCTGGCTGCTGATGAGGTTGATGGGAGAGGAGCCTAGGAGACCAGTGAGGCACGGGGCCAAAGTGAGGGTCCCCCGCTCAGGCTGTGTGAGTGAAGTAGGCAGATGGGAGTGATATGTTTCTATAATGGATGGGACTTGAGGACAGCCAGGGTATGAGTGGAGAGGGCATGAGGAGCCAAAAAGGTTTCCATGTTCCCACCATAGGTGGACAATGGTGCCATCGCTCATCTGGGGACCCAGAGACAGAAATTAATGTGGGAGGAAGTCTAGAGCTCAGGTTGGGACCTGCTATGTATGAAATACTGTGAGTGATCAGGGTATGTTCTGGAGTTAGGAGGTAGCACATGGAAGGAATGGGGAGTCTCGGATGATGAGGTTGAGGGGCCTCGTGGGTGCTTGTGCTCTGTCTTTCCATTTCACCCTGCTCCTGCCACATGTCACCAGATCCTAGGGGCGCTTCTCTGGACCCATCCTACTTGGCCTCCTCCTCAGATTTGTTTTCTCCCCTCCTGGTATTCCTTGTTTTCTTGAGTTTCCTCCTATTTCTGTGGATATTTCATTTAAAATCCCTTCACATGTGCCCTCCCTTTCTGCCTTTGCTGGGGTGCCCAGCCAGGAGGGAGCATTCCCAGCTGGGGCTGGATATGTGTCAGGGGTGTAGTGGAGATTTATTGCAGCACTCAGACCTAGTCAGCCTAATCTGGGAAGACTTCTTGGAGGAGGAAGAGATGTAGAGAGAGAGGTCTCCTGGCCCCTATATTATTCTTGGGCTGTGCTGGGTGCTTTGCTTATATGATCTTATTTGACCCCTGCAGCAAGCCTTCTGGGGGATTTGTGCCCTATTTTCAAGCAGAGAAACTGAGACTCAGAAGGGAGGGGAGCACTGACTAGATCTATGCCAAGTATGTGCTATGGAGCCCATGTGGGGAATGCCTGGGAGGTTTCCCCACCCAGAGAGGCATTGAGTAAGGGGCCTTGAAGGCAAGCCAGGGCTGTAGTGTTTTGAAGTTTGGTTGGTGGAAACACAGAAAGAGTTTGTGCCTTTCCTGGGTTCATGTAACTCTGGACGGTGCTAGGGTCCCCCAGGAGCCTGATCCCAGCCTAGATGGAAGTTTCCTGGTGCCACTCTGCCCTCTAGTGGCCATTGTCTTGCATTCACGAGTAATTTCTATGTCCTTTAACTCCATTATCAGGATCCGGGTGGGGGAGCATGTCTGTGTGTCCGTCTTTGGGGGTTAGGAATGGGTAAACAAGGGCAGGAGCTAGGGCCCTGTTCACAAGGAGCTCACAAAGGTTGAGGAGGCGAAACCCCAGCGAAGTAGTGGAGGTCTGGATTCCTGCTTAGGAGGCAAGATTCCTGGGGCAGGCCCAGCTAGCTTTGTGGCTCCTATTAGGAGCTGCCCCTCTGGGCTTGTTGTCCCATCAGGTACCCTCCTTGGCCTGTCATGGTCCTTCTGGTGCTGACAGCTGAGTTCAGGGGACTTGCTGGGTACAGTAAAAGTCTGTACTCCCCAGGGTACCAGCCCCTGCTCCCAGAGCCTGTTTGAACTTAGCCGCATAGCCAGCCAGTGTGGGAGGCCATGCTTTCATGGTGAGGAATCTGGCCCTTTGCAGTGAGAGGACCCGAAGTTCATTCATGCCAAGAGAGTTTGTAGACAATTATTTCTCACAATTTGGGACTGTTCCTTAAGACAGATTGTGGTGGGCTGCCAAGCCTGGCTTCCTGTGTTCTGGGGCCTCTGACATTTGAAATTGTGGGCATCTGTAGCCCTAGTGCTCCCAGGGTGTGCAAAGGCTTTAAAGCCCAGTGGTAGAAAAATTCACGGCAGATGGATCCTCATGTATGTGTACCAGGTGAAAGGTGGGCAGGGCAGGAGCCAGGCTGGAGCCTGATTGGCCAGCCCATCCCCTCACATCCCTTTCCTGTAACCCCAGCTTCCTGGTACGTGGCGGAAGACTGCTCAGCCTGGCTTGTCCTGCCCTGCTTGCAGGAGTCCTGCTTCCTGATATGTCCTTCCGGGTCTTGCTTGTACCCTCCGGTGATGGGAATCTCGCTCTCTCAATCTTAGGGCCTCTTACACCAGATCAGGTGCTGGCTGAGTGACCTTTTCTGCCTGACTCCAGTGCATCACCAGGCTCCCCAGCGGGATTTGAGATTACATGCTCTATATGCACGTGTGTGTTCTTAAGATAGTGACTCCATGTGAGGGCACGCCTGACCAGTTTGTGCATGCACACCCATAGGTGTGCATGTGTGTGCAAGCTATCAGGGTAGTAGTGTTTCTGTATTTACACATCTGCACAGGTTCTAAGGGAAGTGATGTGTGATCGTGATGTGCCATTTCAGTAGTGACTTGTGAGCTCCCCAGGGCCCTGTGCACATACACGTGCCTGTATGTTTTGCTCGTGGTGTAGGGACTCCAACAGTGTATTTTTGAATGCTTATTTTTGGGTAGGTGGTGAAGTGTCAAGTGTGATATTTATATGTTGTCAGGTGTGAGCCAGTGTGTATACATATGTGCAGGTGATGTCAAGAGGAGTCCACTAGAATGTCAGCTCCACTAGGGCTGAGAGCCTTTTTGCTTTTCTTTTTTGCTGACTCCCTACCATCTGGAACAGTGCCAGGTGCCTAGCAGACACAGAGAGTGTCTGTGTGTCTGTCGTGTGAGTGAATAGATGGAGCCTATGTGAGCCTCTGTACTGCTGCCTTCAGTGCCCGCTGGACACTGAACAACAGGTTAAAGGGCCTGAGCTCACCACCCTGGATCCCTTCCCACCACCTCACCTGCATCACTTCAGATGTCTTAGAAATGAGAGGCCGTCAGAGAAGACAGGCAGAAAGCCAGCAAGGATGGGTCCTTTTCACCTTGCCTCAGCTGGGTCAGGACTCTTAGAATCAGGCTCAGCGTTCTGTCTGGTCTGGGAGAAGCCCGCCCGTGTGGGCTTCTTATTTAAGACTGTAGTAGAGAACTTGCTGACGAGTCCAGAGGTGCTGAGAGATTGACTCAGAGTTATGTAGCCCAGCAGATGGAAGCTGATGTTCAGACTCTGCTCCTGGCCTGGGGCCCAGCCTACCCAGCTCCAGGTCTCATTGATATGAACCCTGTGAGCCTGCTTCCCTAAGAGTGGCCGAGGGGTCATGTCTGACCCAGAGTTCCAAGATCACTTCACAGAGTCCTTCCTGGACTGGTTTGGGTCTCAGTTTCCTTCTCTGATCCTGGATGCCTGGCGATAACCTCGGGAAGATGGAGTATGTGCCGGTAGGGGGCAGCCGTCAGCTGGTGTAATGCTGCAGGGCCTCCTACCTGTGCCTTTGACTGCCTTGCAGCCCAGCCAATCCCTGGTGTTCCTGAAGGCTGATCACTAGTTTCCGTGGCAGAACTTACTCCTTTCAAAAAGCCTCATTCCCAGCCTCTCTAGCCTTCTTTGTTGAGGGTGGGGAGGGGCCGGCCAGGGCCAAGGCTTCCTGGACGTCCACTCAGTAAGTCCCTCTAGATGGCACTGGGGTGGTCTGTCCCATTTCAGCTTGGGTGGGGGTTGAGGCGGGGCTGCCCTGGGTCAGGAGGAAGTGTCTGCCCCGGGGGATTCTGGGTGACTTTTCTCTCTTTCTCAGTCTATGTTTTCAGGAAGTGTGTATTGGCCAGGGCTGCAGGGTTGGAGGAGGCGTAGAGCAGGAAGCCAGGGGAAGCTAGGTCAGACACACACAAACACGCACTCATGCACTCACTCCTCTGCGACAGATCCACTGTTACATACACAAACACACACTCACACAAGTGATCAGAGGCACTAGTGACACGGCATGCAGAGCCACACCTGGACCCAGATTTAATCTCAAACACACCAGGAAACAGGTGCCAAGCTGTCTGCAAGACCAACCCAGGTTGTACGTGAACTGCCGGGGCAGGCACACAACATACTTGGGCACATGCTGGTCCCACCTGGCCAAAGCTGTGGGAGTCCTCGGGCTCAGGACCCGGCAAACATCTGAGGGTGAGCGCGGGGCAGCCTGCGGGGCGGGGAGGCTCTCCCCAGGGCCTGGGACGGCAGGAGCCCCTGTTTGTCTGCCTCTCTCCTCTGGGCTGTTTTCTGTGGTGCTCTTCTCCCCATTCCCTTTTTTTGCTCTTAGAATTTTTTCTCCCACTTTTTCCACATTTTCTGTTTTTCTCCTGCTCTTTTCTTTTCTCCCCTTTCCTTTTCCCTCCCAGTGCCTTGGGCTTTCCTGTTTTCCATCTCTCCGTAAGCCTTTTTCCTGGGCCCACTGGGAGCCCATGGTACCAATTTGCTAGGCCAAACAGATTGCTCCCCTATGGGGTCTCTGCCCTTTAGGGACTTAGTGCTGATCTCCTCAGTTCCACCTGCTGGCATGCCACTGAGGATTCTCTCAGGAGGCTTAAATGGCCCTCTCTGAAGGTCAGGTTCGAGGGTGCTGTGGTTCTGGGCAGCTCCTGCCTGAACACCCTTGCCCTCCCTACCCGCCCCCCACTGCCCCACCCCCAGGCCAGAATGACAGGGAAACCTGCGGAGGGCTGGCACTTAGTTGGCCTGGTTCTTACTTCTCCTCCCAGGGCTGGTAGTGTGGTGAGTGCCTATGTCATTGGGGGGCAGAGCTGGCCTTCCCTCCCCGCAGTCGCTGTGGTTCTCTAATGAACTCAACAGCCCTGTACTTGGGTCACTGGGGACATAGAGATGCC